AACGAATGGCTGTATTAAAAGCCAGTGCACAAACGAGTGCACAGAGGAGAATCATGAGGATCGTAGCTGTGTTGGCTCCAGCATCATTTGAGTTTGAGTAAGGCCACCATTTGCAGCTGTGAACTTGAGGGTCACATGATGGAGGTCTAGAAGGAAGTGGGGGGGGGGGGGGGGGGGGGCGTGCCACAAAAAAACATGGGATTCTGTGATATTGGTTTATGGAGAAAAGCCACGTCTTAGCTAAGAAAGTGATATGAAGCAACTAGAAAGTGTCATGAAGTTTACCTAACTGCAGATTCACTAACTTCAGAGCTTGACCTCCACATCAACTCCAGCAGGAAGGTCAAGTTGCATCAATGAATCTATTGTTTGTGCAGTTGGGAACAGAATATCTATAAGACGTTGATGGGTTCGAATCTCAAAATGGAACCTTGCATCCTTGTGCACATGGGGGGATTTAAGAACACAGTATACACGCTTCTTGGTTGGTAATGGCACAGGACCCATGGTCTTTGCATTGGTGGTCCTTGCAGCATCCATTATCTGCTTGCAGGAGTCCTCGATCAATTTGACCCAAAAAGATCTTAGTTTGATTCTAATTTTCTGCTTCGGTGCCATCTATATAAGCAACATGAAGACATAATGAAAACTCTATGCATGTGATATGAAGAGTGATTACATAGTTAAGGGAGGAAAAAATAAAAGATCATAAGGAATAAGATGAAGGTCATTCAGGCATCAATTGACCATAGATGCAAAGATATTTGAACAAGTAGGCTCACTCAAGGCGTGTATATCAAAGAAAGGCTGCCATTTGGAGCAAATCCTATAAAATTATAACCCAGAAATAATGTTACTTCCCACCAGCCAGGAGAATCTTCATAAGCAGCCGAACAGAGGGTTGAGTTGAGAGGACATGCACTCTTACTTAGCACAAAACAATAAGTGTAATGGGTAAATATTTCAACATGGAAAACATTATGAAAACATGCACTCTTACTAAAAGTACTTTTGATTCATTGATTATTGAAGATAGAAATAAATAGGGAAATAAACTACATATCTAGCTGTTGAAGTAATTTGGTATCCCAAATAGTAATACAACAACAACAACAACAAGACAAGCTCAGAATACACCAAGAGACACAAGCTCATTAATTTTCTACATTCTGTGAAGACATCTAAAACGATAAGGCAGATAGAATTATATACCATGTCTGCATCTGCAGCAATGCTGACAGATTGATGACTGGGAGTCTCCGAATCTCCAACCTACAAGATCCAGGATTAACAAGTGAATTGAGTAAAGATAATATTGATGTATTTTTTTCATCACAGGAAAGCAGAGAACTCGTTCTCTTCATAATGTAAACTTTACTTGATTGTTGAGAGTGAAAGGAGAGAGTTAGAGAGAGACCTGAAAGGTATCAGAGTCAGGTCCGTCAAGGATATCTGGAAGTGGGTCTAGAGTGGTTTGAGAATCCAAAGCTTCAGGAGCAGCAAAAGCTCCACACGTTGAAAGGGAGGAGGGTTTAAGGGTAGTCTTCGAGACATTGTTGTTAAAAGAAAAACAAGAAGTCGAGAGCTTTGTTGTTTTACAAGGAAATGAAGGAGAAGTTGAGATCGTAAGAGAAGGGATTAACGTTGTAGTGAATGAAGATGGAGACATCATTTTTTGTTTTTTGAATCAATCAATCAAGCGGCCACTCCTCTCTTCTTCTTCTTATCTTTTTGGTGCGCGCCAGCGTGAACCCCTCTACCTGTTTATTGGACTTGGATTATCCAATTCTTTTTCACATTTTTATAAATAATTTTGTTCTCGTCTTGGGATCCGCTTAAAGCCCGCATATGATCTAGCGTGGCTGCACACCTACATTATTCTTTCGCATGGGCTTAGTCCTTACCAAACTCATCTACGACAGCCACACACAGGTCGTCCTTCCCACGGAGGAAAGGACCTGGGATTTATTTTCTTGATTAATAACATCAATGAGCACTATTTCTTTCTCCTTTTTTTTTTATTTTATCTTTCAATCATTCAATCAAATCTATCTAATTTATTTTCTAAATTAACTAACAGATTTACTTCTTTTATTTTTTTTCATTTTCCGCCTCTCCCTCTCTCTTCTTCTTTTTTAAATAAATTTTAAATTTATGTTGATTCTAGATAAGATTTGTTTATGTATATAGATATATCTAAATTAATATTTAAATATATATCTTTTTTTTAATTTGTGTTGCCCTTGTGCGTGGAACATGGTTCCTCGATTTAGTTTTTTGTTTGTTAAGGTTTTTTTTTTTAATTAAAAATTTAGTGATTGTTACAAATTGATTAAAAACTTTTAATATTGGTTAATTTTTCATCAATGGAATCTTATAGTGCATCATGTTACCCCATTGATTTGATCATATTTGAAAAGAAATAATATGGAGGATCATAAATACATATGAGAGTCATATAAACCTAGTTGGGTAGGGAAATATTTTGAAAAGTCAAGTGTGAGATGAAAAAAAAAATATAAAAATTTAAAAGACAACCAAATAATGTTAAAATCAGCCAAGTAAAACTCAAGTAAAACCAAAACAAAGCTATTAAAATCCAAAATCAGACTATTGATTTTTTGCATGATTTTTTCTATTTTAAGAAGAATGTGTGCTATGCATGCTTCCATACAAGGTTTTGTGACTAATTTTCAAATGTATTTTTTTTTTCTAAATACCCATTATTTCTATGCATTTTAATTTGAGAAGTAAGCAAGAACACGTGAAGGAAAGCTAGAAAAATACTTGAATATACATTATTATTTTTGTAGATTGTGTTCTTGTCTTATAAATTTTAATTGATTTGCTCTTTGAGTGAGCATAATTATTTGGGTTACTTAGTTTGTTATTAAAAAAAAATATTATGGAGATATGAGTGCTACCATATCAATACTAAAAAATTATAATCTCTAAATTACTAAAGATTTATATAGTTATTAATTTTAAAATCTGTGAAATTAGTTGAAATACACAAATTGACCTGTATACCTATGTTAATAAAAAAAATTAATAGCATGAGTGATATATCATATCAACACTTGGGTTAGCTCTCAAACCCATAAAAAAAAATGATTGTAGGAAACATGTTCCTTTCTTGTAAAATAAAAATAATAAATTGAAAAAGCTCATATTATGTTTAGAGATGGAGTATAGGATAAATCTTTCATTGTGCTTGACATTTTTATCTTTATCTATGCACGTTTTCTTTTATAATTTTATGCTTCTATAATGCAAATTTATTATCTTCACTTATTGCTTAACATGTGTTAGTTTTATATTTATTTAAGTGTTGTTTTTATTATATCAAGGCCTATTAACCATTCATCTAGGCTTAGTTTTTGGTATTATAGATTCATGATAATTTAAACGTTTTTACAAGCATTTGTTGATATAAATTCTTAAAAAAATAGCCCAAGTTTAGGAATTTCAAAGAGTTTACTTTGTCATTTAAATTAATAAAAGGATCAATTGATTAAATCCAATTTTCATCATCATTGTTGTTAAGTTCTTTTTCAAACTATTAGATTCAACTCCTACATTTATATAATGTGAAAATAATGTTGTATTTATGTTTATTATGTTATTAATGAAGTATTAATTTCATTCTAAAAAAAAAAGTTGATTAATAGATTATGTTAAACTCTTTAGTGGTTATAAAATACCTTTTAAATACTAAAAAAATCTTTTTTTTTCATTACAATTAACATAAAACAGGTTTCTTTAATATCCAAACCATATGGTTTTTATTGATACCTCTTATATCACATTTCATTGATTTTTTCATTAAAAAAATGAGTTACACTAATATCCCTTTAAATATATATATAAAAAAAATGAACAAATAGATTAGAAAAAAATTAATAAATTATTCCTCATAAATATCGACAAATAAAAGGAAAAGTATAATAAGTTCATTTTGTAGATTTACATTTCAAACAGGTTTATATTTTATTATATTTCCTAAATATTCTAAAATTACATTTGAGAATTTGCTATTTATCTCTTTTTTTTTTTAAAGAAGCTTGGCAGGCAAGTGAAAACAATAAGAATAATAATAATGTATGTAGTCGTTCTCTCATTCTCTTTTTATCCCTCTTTATAACTCCTTTTTAAAAAATATATATAATTTTTTTTCTCAAATCTTCTTTGTTATTTTAATTATTTGATATTTAGCTGTCAAATTTATTTAATGTTTTCCGTGGTCCAAATAATTATAGATTTAGATTTATATTATTTAACCTTTGTTTGGTTTATTATATATAGTCATGCATTTTTTTTTAGTTTGTGTTTATTGGAAGTTGGTTTAAGAATTTATGTCAAAACATAAAACATAAATTGCAATCTTAATCAAATTTATAGGTTATAAACTTTGTAATTGTTTGTTCCATTAATAAGGCTTAGTAGTATTACCTATATCTTCATTAATAAATGATGATATGTGATCTCTATGATTAAGATAGATGAAAAAAAAAAGTTTTATTGTAAATAGCTTGAAAATGTGAAACTAAAAAATATAAAGCAGGAAAAATTATGATCAGCAGTTACTACTATAACAAAGAAGTTTTTTATTTTATTTTATTAGAATTGATTATATCTTTAGTTGAGTTTTATGCAAATTTAGTTGAGTTTTATGCAAATTTTAATGGCTCTATACTATTTTTAGTATTAAAGAAATTACATTTTTATATAACAAAATATTTTAATATGTTTTTGTATGCAAGAAGTTTTTAAAATCATAAAGTTTTTCTATTAGCTTCTTAGCCTAAATTGTTTTTTAGAGATTAAAAAGTAACTTCAATGTATCTTTTTTTTTTTATTAATTCACATGCTTCTTTATAACAAAAAGCTTATAGTACTTATTTGAAAAGGGAAAAAAAGATTTACAAGAAAAGGTATGATATTTTCACCTTTATAATCATTTTTCTTAACTTTATAATGATAGCATTGTACAAGAAAAAATAAGTTATAATAATAAATTAGTTTGTCAATTAAAAACTTAGAGATTCATATAATTATTATCATTTTATTTTAAGCAAACTAAAATAACAGCGATGGCTAAGGTAGATAATGTATCATTCATAAAATTCATATTCTAACCACTATAATGGTGGTAAAAAATCAGGGTTTAATTTCTTGAATATTAAAAACTCATTTTCAAACCATTGTTTCACATGAAAACACTTAAAATAACACTCTAAATACCTTAAAAAACTCTTTTGTGATATTAAACTTGAAAAAAATTAATCTAAAACGCAAAGTCAATCTGAACAAAAAAACTTCCTTGGACTTAATTTATTTTTTCAGGTAAGATAATAGACAAAGAAAACCTCATGGAACTTCTCTCATTAAAATGAGTCGGTTGACACAAAAAATGATCTTTTTCATTGTCAAAATCTTGGTCAACGAAAAAATTTCTCTCTCTTCATCATTTTTCATTGACTTTTTCTCTCTTATCTCAAACCAAGAAATCAAAATGGAAACAAAATAAAATCTTGAATCAAAATATTTGACCTTAAAATAGAAGGATCAAAAAAGAGCTTTGATAAAACCTCATGTAAAATTTAGCAAAAACAATGGAGGGACTGATTTTCTTATAATAGGGTTATTCAATTTTGGTCCCTTAACTATCAATCTTGTAAAAAAATAAAATGAAATAAAATTTTACAAAATCAAAAACCAACCAAATAGAAGGATATTTTGTTGAGACTATGATAGTTTCATAGAAAATAATAAGGAATAAATCATGAAGACTAATTTATAATAAACAAATTATTAAAGGATTAAATATATAATAATAATAATAATAATAATAATAATAATAATAATAAAAAAGCATTCTCTAAGAACAATACTCTTTGTGGAGAGCTAGAGAAAAAACCCAAAATATTTAGGTGTTTTGTTAATGAGAAAATATTTATGGATGATGGTAAAAGAAGACTAGATGTAATAAAATATTTTTTTAAATGGTTATTCAGAAACAAAGTAATATTCCTAATTTTCTTTAAAACATACAAGAAAAACTAGAACTTTCTATTCAAATGCAATATTTTTTTATTTTAAAAACTAGAACAATAATTTTTTAAATTTGTACCAAGTTTGAAAAAACATATTTTAAAGGTTCTTTATAGTTGTTCTTTACAAATCTTCCATTCTTTTTCAAATAAAAAAAAAAGACGATGTGAAAAATATAATATTTTTACCAAGCACTTTTTAGCAATGTAAAATATTATCACATTAAGTTATTGTCATAAATTTAATTTTTATTATAAGTTATTGTAAAATCTTCCATTCTTTATAGTTGTTCTTTAAAAATCTTCCATTCTTTTTCAAATAAAAAAAAAGACGATGTGAAAAATATAATATTTTTACCAAGCACTTTTAGTAATGTAAAATATTATCATATTAAGTTATTGTCATAAATTTAATTTTTATTATAAATCTAATTTTTTTTAGTTAACAATATAACTTTTCCATAATAATTTTTAATTAAATTAAATTAAAAAAATATTCTTTAATTGGATTATCACAAATATAAGATATTAAGATGCATATTATAAATTATACTTTTGATTTTTTTATGAAAATAATTGTAATCTTGATATATTTTTAATTTTTTGATGTAAAATATATCTTCCATCTCAACAAATGAACATGTTTCCTAGTTTTTTTATTGGAAAAGAAAAGGAAAACTAAAAATAAAACTAAAAGGAAAAATAGTTTTCAATTAATGAATGGAACTTAG